TAGAACCTTTAGAAAGTGAGGCTGAGTAATACCTCCTCATATCGATGTAGAGAACAATAAATTATTTCTCGTTTATAAGCAGATCTTTAATAAATAACAACAAATTAGCTTTCATTAAATCACCTCGAATGGCTTAGATCTTGTTGAAATCTGCCAGCTCAAAACTTTATTCGATTCTTCATGATTTGCTAAGTTATGGGAAAGCAGAGCTGCACCAAATCGACAAGGCTCTGTATAGTATTAAAAAGATGAAGATAGATACTTTCCTTCTGTACCGTATTATTTTAGTCATTCTGGAAAATATAGAGGCTATAGTACAATGATGTGGCCTTATTTAGGCAACTTCGCCCTGTTACTAGGGTAACCTGGATGAGTGCACCTTGTTCAGAGTCCTCTGCCGTAGCAATCTGGATAATATCCAGTCTTTTATTTTGAACTTGGATGATTTCCAGACGTTTCGCCGGCATCAAAGTTGGCAAGGAGACTAGTCTCTTCGTTGAGGTGTAGTTTGGTGCTAAGAATTACATGAATTGCTGACGAGGCCAACTTGGATAAGGCAAAGCGTCCGAGAATGTACTAGTTACACGGTCCGACGTTAAAAATTCTCATGATTACAATGAATGAGAATTTTTTATAAGGCCTATTTACCGAATTCTCCTGACAACAAGACCAAGTTGTGTAAACTAATTCACACTATTTTTATTCAGCCAAAGAAGACCGCCACCAACATATGGGCTAAAAATGATAGTACTAAAGAAGAGGAAAATCATGATTATGCAGATACCAAAGTGAAAAGTTGAATGGCTTTTTGAGAGGATTATCCAGGTCGGTGAAATACGTTTTTCCTTCAATTCTCTCTCTTGGACTCATTTCACATGGAGAGATTCGATGTTAAAGGGGCCTGACCCGATTAAGCATAGGATGGCTGGGCTGGTGCCTCTTTTTCTCTGGATATTTGTCATTTGGCAGAACTACGGCGAGGCTCGAACTATTCTCAAAACTGCAAGAGGTACTAGGAGCAGGAAAAACAGAGTCATTACACCGACTGACTTCTTTGAAGCTTGTTTGAAGTTAGAGCTAGCAGGAAAAACGGTATATGAACTCCTGGACCATTATCTTTCCTCAGAAACCCTGAATTGAAGATTATGTCAGCAGCAAATTTGGCATTTCGACGTCTACCAGGTTAGATCAAACAAAGCGCTGTTGAAATTCATTGTCGTATTGGATCAGGTTGCTCTTCAAGTTGCAGCTTCGTAAAGATGATTACTTGGATAGCTTTTTAGGCGGCATTCTTTCCGAAGTTGACTGGGAAGGACTAGGTGATGTCTGAAAAGCATCAAATCATTTTGTGTTCATTTCCCTCTGTAGGCAGTAAAAAAGGTA